TGAAGCCCTTAAATCATCCCAGATAGTGCCATATGCAGGAAACATATTAGTACCACATGATGTACCTATACAGGTACAGAAAGGACAAAAAGAATCCGGATGCATTTATACAGTTGTGTTCAAAATAATATCAGTGTGTTGAAAAATGTGAATAAAGCTGAAAATCCCTTCTAATAGCTTTTATTTCCATCCACACAAATGCATTGGGAACACGACACATTCTATTCCAAATCACAACATGAAGAAAAATATATCAAATTTTATGTTGTTCCTCTAAAAAAATGGAAGAAAAGTGAATATTGGACGGTTCAAAAAAATGGCCGTGTTTGTATTCTTCTTTACAAACTCAAACATTCACTATATATAACTGAGAAATGTTTGAAGATTTTGCTTTCCTTTGAATGACTTCATGAATATTTGGTTGTAGTCGCACTGTTTCTGAGAACTGCTGTACATCTGTGTTGCATGGAGTCACCCAACTTCTGGCCCCTGTGATCAGGTATTCCAGCCCAGGATGATTGGACCACATTCCACAGTTCTTCTCTATTTCTTGGTTGGCCTCAGAAACGGCATTTTTGATGTCACCCCACAAGTTTTCTATTGGATGAAGATCCGGGGATTGGGGCTGGCCACTCCATAACGTCCATCTTGTTGGTCTGGAACCAAGATGTTGCACGTTTACTGGTGTGTTTGGGGTCGTTGTCTTGTTGGAACACCCATTTCAAGGGCATTTCGATCTTCAGCATAAGGCAGCATGACCTCTTCAAGTATTCTGATGTATTCAAACTGATCCATGATCCCTGGTATGCGATAAATAGGCCCAACACCGTAGTATGAGAAAACATCCCCATATCATGATGCTTGCACCACCATGCTTCACGGTCTTCACAGTGTACTGTGGCTTGAATTCAGTGTTTGGGGGACGTCTGACAAACTGTCTCCCCCACTAGACCCAAAAAGAACAATCTTACTTTCATCAGTCCACAAAATGTTGCGTCATTTCTCTTTAGGCCAGTCAATGTGCTCTTTGGCAGATTGTAACCTCTTCAGCACATGTCTTTTTCCCAACAGTGGGACTTTGCGGGGACTTCTTGCAGATAGCTTGGCTTCACATCGGCGTCTTCTAATTGTAACAGTCCTCACAGGGAACGTCACACCTTCTTTCATCTTCCTGGAGCTGATTGTTGGCTGAGTCCTCACAGGGAACGTCACGCCTTCTTTCATCTTCCTGGAGCTGATTGTTGGCTGAGTCCGCCCCATTTTGGCTATTCTTCTATCCATTCCAATGGTAGTTTTTCGCTTTCTTCCACGTCTTTCAGGTTTTGGTTGCCATTTTAAAGCATTTGCCATCATTTTAGCTGAGCAGCCGATCATTTTCTGCACTTCTTTATATGTTTTCCCCTCTCCAATCAACTTTTTAATCAAGGTACGCTGTTCTTCTGAACAATGTCTGGAACGACCCATATTCCTCAGAATTTCAGAGAGAAATGCACTGTAACCAGCATGTACAACATTTGCTGCCTTCCTTTCCTTAAATAAGGGCAATAATTGCCACCTGTTTATCAAAGAATGAATGACCTCACTAATAGAACTCCACACTGCTATTATTTTGAACACGCCCCTTTCAATGAGTGATTCAATGACACAGAATCAGCAGCATGCATGTCATGACTGTTGGGTCTGTTGGATTTCTATGACTCTACTACACCTGCTAGGAAATTATTTGCCATGTAGAAATATCATTTCCACCAAAAACAGTGATTGATCCGGTTAGTGATGTCTGATGGCTATTATTTTCAACACAACTGTGTATAAAATGAATAATAATACTCTGCCAATTATAGGGAGTGTGCCAACTGGGATTATAATATACAATGTATACATAACAACATGATGTCATCAAACTAGATATAGCTTATTGCCATTCACCTGGAGGACTACAAGTGCCATAATGTCATAACAACAAAACAATTGGATTACAGAGCCATTATAATACTAAACATGTCTGATAAATATTTTACAGTTGTGTCCAAAATTATTCAACCCCCAATGCTGTAAAGGGGTTTAGGGACTATAGTGTACATTTGGAATTGTATTCAGAATCAAATCCTACAAGGACGTTGTAAACTACCCAAATGCAACTAAAATGACATCAATTGTTTATGTAATACAGTAGTAAATGGTTCTTATGTGGTTTCTTCATTGCCACAATTATTCAACCCCTTAAAGACTACCACTCTGAAGAACAGAGGTTCATACAGGTGCTTTCCATCAGGTATTGAAAACACCTGTGGATGTCACCGAGCAGCAATCAAGCATAATAAGCACCAATTAGGCAGCTTTAAAATGACTGTGATACTCAGCTCCTTCTAGACATTTACTGGTGTGGTTACAAACATGGTGAAGGCAAGAGAATGGTCCAGGAAGACAAGAGAAGAGGTGATTTCTCTTCACAGGAAGGGCAATGGCTATAAGAAGATTGCAAAGATGTTAAACATACCAAGAGACACCTTAGGAAGCATCATTCGCAAATTCAAGGCAAAGGGCACTGTTGAAACGCTACCTGGTCGTGGCAGAAAGAAGATGCTGACTTCGACTGCTGTGCGCTACCTGAAGCGTATAGAGTGGAGAGAAGTCCCCGTGTGACTGCTGAGGAACTGAGAAAAGATTTGTCAGATGTGGGTACAGAAGTTTCAGCCCAGACAATAAGACGCACACTGCGTAATGAAGGCCTCCGTGCCAGAACTCCCAGGCGTACCCCCTTGCTGTCTCCAAAGAATAAGAAGAGTCGACTGCAGTATGCCAAAAGCCATGTGGACAAACCACAAAAGTTGTGGGATAGTGTTCTGTGGACTGATGAAACAAAATTAGAACTGTTTGGGCCCATGGATCAACGCTAATGTTTGGAGGAGGAAGAACAAGGCCTATGATGAAAAGAACACCTTGCCTACTGTGAAGCATGGTGGAGGGTCAATCATGCTTTGGGGCTGTTTTGCTTCTGCAGGTACAGGGAAGCTTCAGCGTGTGCAAGGTACCATGAATTCTCTTCAGTACCAGGAGATATTGGATGGAAACGTGATGCAGTCCGTCACACACCTGAGGCTTGGGAGACGTTGGACCTTTCAACAGGACAATGATCCAAGCATACCTCCAAGTCCACTAGAGCATGGTTGCAGAGGAAAGGCTGGAACATTTTGGAGTGGCCATCGCAGTCACCAGACTTAAATCCGATTGAGAACCTCTGGTGGGACTTAAAGAAAGCAGTTGCAGTGCGCAAGCCTAAGAATGTGACTGAACTGGAGGCCTTTGCCCATGAAGAATGGGCGAAGATACCCGTAGATCGCTGCAAGACACTTGTGTCAAGCTATGCTTCACGTTTTAAAAGCTGTTATAACTGTAAAAGGATGCTGTACTAAGTACTAAGATTGAATGTCACTTGGGGGTTGAATAAAACTGATAATGCTGTGAGCACAGAAAAGACATTTGTGGTTATTTCATTATAACTGTTATGTTATATTTGTCTGACCTACAAGTGCCTCTTTAATGTAAATGTAAGCAAGATGACTGAATGATCAAAAGCAATGTCAAACTGGCCAAAACACTCAATTTCAGTGGGGGTTGAATAATTTTGGACACAACTGTACTTTATTATTACAGATATAAGAGATGAAAGTGTGTATAGAAAAGACAATAAAAATGTGTAATATTCAGAGCCAATTAAAAAATAAAATATTAAATTCCAAACATATGGAAATAGTAAAAGAAAAACCATCATTTTTATTCAGTGCTCTAAGTCAGGACTCCATTGTTATTCTTCTCCTGCCATCAATAGCCAACCCGGTCCCACACTTCATCCATGTCTTTGGGGACCTCTGATCTCCTTATGAACTGTTTCTTCCATGATGAAGATCAGCCATGGAGTATATCTGAGGTGTATATCAGGGTGTGCTTCTTCCCCACATGAGAGCTGGGATGTCCAGCAACATTCATCTAGAAGACATTTCCCACACTCAGGGCACTAATACACCTCCAGGGTGGTGTGGGGCCCCTGATGTACAGGAAGACAGGACTTCAGTGAGGAACATTTCCCTCACTCAGGACAGGAAAGTGGCTTTTCCCCCGTGTGAGATCTCTGATGTTTAGAAAGATGGGACTTCTGTGAAAAACATTTCCCGCACTCAGGACAGGAATACGGCTTCTCCCCTGTGTGAGATCTCTTATGTCTATAAAGATTGGCCTTAGCTGAAAAATATTTTCCACACTCAGGACAGGAAAATGATTTCCCCCCCCGTGTGACATTTCTGATGTTTATGAAGAATGGACTTCTCTGAAAAGCAGTTCCCGCACTCAGGACAGGAATACGGCTTCTCCCTCGTATGAGATCTATTATGTCTATAAAAATTGGACTTAACTGAAAAACATTTCCCACACTCAAGACAGGAATATGGCTTCTCCCCTGTGTGAGATCTCTGATGAATGGAAAGATTGAACTTCACTGAAAAAAATTCCCGCACTCAGGACAGGAATATGGCTTCTCCCCCGAGTGAGATCTTTGATGTGTGTAAAGACTGGACATCACTGAAAAACATTTCCCGCACTTAAGACAGGAATATGGCTTCTCCCCCGTGTGAGATCTTTTATGCACATTAAATTTGGATTTAGAACTGAAACCCTTCCCGCACTCAGTACAGGAGAAGCTCTTCCCTGTTGGAAGGCTGGCCTGGTCCCGCACAGTCTGAGGTTCCTCAGGATACGAGGAATCCGATGGTCCATCTACACTGGGTGGTGCCGGATGGACATTGGAGGGAGCCGGGTTTTCTCCTGGACTATACTGTGTGATGTCCTCATCTTCTACTTTCCAGTCTGGAGACAAAGTGAGACAATCCTCGGAAGTTTTCCTCATCGCCCGGCCATGGACTAAAATACAAAGACAAAGAGGATTACTAGACAGGAGCTGATTGGTTCCCCCAAACCAGGACTCCGCCCACATCAGGCAGCTTGGGCTCTGAGGAGCTTTCAATTCCACCCTCAAGGGAACTAGGAAATGGCTCCTCTGATCTCCTACCAGGTCATTTCTTTATTCATGGACCTTAGTCAGAGAGTGAGGAAACAACCAGAACTGTCTTTTATAGGAGGGACAGTGATGAGGGGATTATAGGACGAGGGTCCCCACCCCCTCTATCACTCATCGCCATCTTCCCAACACAAGAAGTACTGCACTTCCTTATTTAGTCCATGATTTAGTCATGAAGAACAGCGGGGCTGAGCCCCACCAGAGGTCAGAGAGTGAGGATGGGGGAAGAACAACCAAGATGAAGACTGGACTGATCCTGAAGACCACCATCATTGGGGTATTGACTCCGCCCTCATTATCACTTTCTGTTTAAGGGTCCAAAGTTGGAGGATGTTATCACATTATTATCACCATGTAAAAGTCTGTGCTCCAATCACATCATCCGATATAAAATGTCCAGCTGGGAGGAAATGGGGGGAACAAAAGAGAATCCATATTATGTGTATATATAGCAGTGGGGGGAGGGGGGGAGCAGAAGTCAGGTCTATGGAATGTACAACACAGAGTATATAATGCAGGGGTCAGGAGTATGTAATGTACAACATAGAGTATATAGTGCAGGGGTCAGGAGTATGTAATGTACAACATAGAGTATATAGTGCAGGGGTCAGGAGTATGTAATGTACAACAGAGTATATAGTGCAGGGGTCAAGAGTATGTAATGTACAACAGAGTATATAGTGCAGGGGTCAGGAGTATGTAATGTACAACACAGAGAATATAGTGCAGGGGTCAGGAGTATGTAATGTACAACATAGAGTATATAGTGCAGGGGTCAGGAGGATGTAATGTACAACATAGAGTATATAGTGCAGGGGTCAGGAGTATGTAATGTACAACATAGAGTATATAGTGCAGGGGTCAGAGTATGTAATGTACAACATGGAGTATATAGTACAGGGGTCAGGAGTATGTAATATACAACATAGAGTATATAGTGCAGGGGTCAGGAGTATGTAATGTACAACACAGAGTATATAGTGCAGGGATAAGGAGGATGTAATGTACAACATAGAGCATAAAGTGCAGGGTCAGGAGTATGTATTGAACAACAGAGTATATAGTGCAGGGGTCAGGAGTATGTAATGTACAACAGAGTATATAGTGCAGGGGTCAGGAGTATGTAATGTACAACATAAGAGTATATAGTGCAGGGGTCAGGAGTATGTAATGTACAGCATAGAGTTTATATTGCAGGGGTCAGGAGTATGTAATGTACAGCATAGAGTATATAGTGCAGGAGTCAGGAGTATGTAATGTAAAGCATAGAGTATAAAGTGCAGGGGTCAGGAGTATGTAATGTACAACATTAGAGTATATAGTGAAGGGGTCAGGATATGGAATGTACAAACATAGAGTATATAGTGCAGGGATCAGGAGTATGTAATGTACAACATAGAAGTACATAGTGCATGGGGTAAGGAATATGGAATGTACAACATAGAGTATATAGTGCAGGGATCAGGAGTATGTAATGTACAACATAGAGTTACATAGTGCATGGGGTCAGGAATATGTAATGTACAACACAGAGTATATAGTGCAGGGGTCAGGAGTATGTAATGTACAAACAGAGTATATAGTGCAGGGGTCAGGAGTATGTAATGTACAAAAGAGTATATAGTGCAGTGGTCAGGAGTATGTAATGTACTAACGAGTATATAGTGCAGGGGTCAGGAGTATGTAATGTACTACAGATATATAGTGCAGGGGTCAGGAGTATGTAATGTACAACATAGAGTATATAGTGCAGGGGTCAGGACTATGTAATGTACAGCATATAGTATAATAGTGCAGGGTAAGGAGTATGTAATGTACAAAAAAAATATATAGTGCAGGGTTCAGGAGTTTGTAATGTACAACAGAGTATATGGTGCAGGGGCCAGAAGTATGTAATGTACAACAAAGTACATAGTTCCGGGGTTTAGCAGTATGTAATGAACATAGAGTATATAGTGAGGGGTCAGAAGTATGGAATGTACAACATAGAGTATATAGTGCGGGGTCAGGAGTATGTAATGTACAACATAGAGTATATAGTGCAGGGGTCAGGAGTATGTAATGTACAACACAGAGTATATAGTGCAGGGATAAGGAGGATGTAATGTACAACATAGAGCATAAGTGCAGGGGTCAGGAGTATGTATTGAACAACAGAGTATATAGTGCAGGGGTCAGGAGTATGTAATGTACAACAGAGTATATAGTGCAGGGGTCAGGAGTATGTAATGTACAACATAGAGTATATAGTGCAGGGGTCAGGAGTATGTAATGTACAGCATAGAGTTTATATTGCAGGGGTCAGGAGTATGTAATGTACAGCATAGAGTATTATAGTGCAGGAGTCAGGAGTATGTAATGTAAAGCATAGAGTATAAAGTGCAGGGGTCAGGAGTATGTAATGTACAACATAGAGTATATAGTGAAGGGGTCAGGACTATGGAATGTACAACATAGAGTATATAGTGCAGGGATCAGGAGTATGTAATGTAAACATAGGTACATAGTGCATGGGGTAAGGAATATGGAATGTACAACATAGAGTATATAGTGCAGGGATCAGGAGTATGTAATGTACAACATAGAGTACATAGTGCATGGGGTCAGGAATATGTAATGTACAACACAGAGTATATAGTGCAGGGGTCAGGAGTATGTAATGTACAACAGAGTATATAGTGCAGGGGTCAGGAGTATGTAATGTACAAAAGAGTATTATAGTGCAGTGGTCAGGAGTATGTAATGTACTAACGAGTATATAGTGCAGGGGTCAGGAGTATGTAATGTACTACAAGAGTATATAGTGCAGGGGTCAGGAGTATGTAATGTACAACATAGAGTATATAGTGCAGGGGTCAGGGACTATGTAATGTACAGCATATAGTATAGTGCAGGGGTAAGGAGTATGTAATGTACAAAAAAATATATAGTGCAGGGTTCAGGAGTTTGTAATGTACAACAGAGTATATGGTGCAGGGGCCAGAAGTATGTAATGTACAACAAAGTACATAGTTCTGGGGTTTAGCAGTATGTAATGAACATAGAGTATATAGTGCAGGGGTCAGAAGTATGGATTGTACAACATAGAGTATATAGTGCAGGGGTCAGGAGTATGTAATATACAACATGGAGTATATAGTGCAGGGGGTCAGGAGTATGTAATGTACTACAGAGTGTATAGTACAGGAGTCAGGAGTATGAAATGTACAACATAGAGTATATAGTGCAGGGGTCAGGGGTATGTAATGTACAACATAGAGTATATAGTGCAGGGGGTCAGGAGTATGGAATGTACAACATAGAGTATATAGTGCAGGGGTCAGGAGTATGTAATGTACTACAGAGTATATAGTGCAGGGGTCAGGAGGATGTAATGTACAACATAGAGTATATAGTGCAGGGGTCAGGAGTATGTAATGTACAACATAGAGTATATAGTGCAGGGGTCAGGAGTATGTAATGTACAACATAGAGTATATAGTGCATGGGGTCAGGAGTATGTAATGTACAACATAGAGTATATTAGTGCAGGGGTCAGGAGTATGTAATGTACAACATAGAGTATATAGTGCAGGGGTCAGGAGTATGGAATGTACAACAGAGAGTAAATAGTGCAGGGGTCAGGAGTATGGAATATACAAACAGAGAGTAAATAGTGCAGGGGGTCAGGAGTATGTAATGTGCAGCATAGAGTATTTAGTGCAGGGGTAAGGATTATGTAATGTTACAACATAGAGTATATTAGTGCAGGGGTCAGGAGTATGTAATGTACAACAGAGTATATAGTGCAGGGGTCAGGAGTATGTAATGTACAACATAGAGTATATAGTGCAGGGGTCAGGAGTATGTAACGTACAAATATAAATTATCCAGTGTAAGGGTCAGGACTCATAATATTGGTATTCAGTAATCAGTGGAAGCTTAACCACTAGGGACCACCCACAGTAAATATACTGCTACAAGGCGGCCCCTGTGTGCAGGATCATGTGTATATACATAATCCTGCATTCCCCGGGGTAGGGAGCGCGCGTGAGGGTGTGTGACCGCCGTACCCGCGGCGGGCACCGATCATGACTGCGGATGTCAATCACTGGGTCCCGGCCGGTGATTACCCACCAGAGCCTGGCAATTGCCAGAGAGGAAGGGTGCATTGTATTCAATGGTGCTCTCTCCTCCCTGTCAGCTTTCAGCACACTGTTCTAGGTATCACTGAGCTCAGCCTTCTGGGATAGTGTGTAACAGAGAGGTATACACACCCCGCCCCCTAGTAACAGACCCCACCCCCTAGTAAAACACTCCCCTCACACAGTTAACTCTTTGTCTCCAGAGGTTAACCCCTTCCTCCCCAGTGTGCTATTAGTACAGTGTCAGTGGTTTTTTTTTGCTCTGATCACTTTATTAGTGTCACTGTGGATGTCAGTGACCCCAAGTCAGTTCCCCTCCAGTGTCAGAATGTCCGCCTCAGTCCTGCAGTCTCTCCATATGTCGCTGATCGCCGTCATAAATCGCTGATTTCCACTATTATTAGTATATGAAAAGAAAATCCAGTATATTATACCGCCATTTGTAAACACTATAACTTTCATGTAAACCAATTAATTTACACGGATTGGGACTTTTTTTTAGCAAAGACAAGGAGCAGAATACATTTTGGCCATAAATTTATGACTAAATTTGATTTTTACTTTTTTTACTGGACGTGTTTTTATAGCAAAAGTCCAAAATATTGTTTTTTTCTCAAAATTGTTAGTCTTTTTTTTATCGCAAAAAAATAAAAAAAATGCACAGTCGATCAAATACCACCAAAAGAAAGGCCCAATTTGTGGGGAAAAAGATATGTAAA